CTAAATCTAATTTATCAGAGTATGAATTAATATTTATTATGGAAATAAGTGAACAGGAATGTTTTCAGCATAATTTAATTTTCCCCCTCAAATCATCCTTCAATCCAAGTTTGACTCCTCTACTAGTCATGTGTTTGACAGGCCTGATATAAAAGATCAACTGAACATCCACAACATGTCTTTTTTAGCAGATATAGACCTCAACAACATTCCTACAAAATAACAACACACTATGGAACAATATGACTCACTCGGACGATGAAGAAATTATTGTATCTCGCCGAGAGAAGAATGACCATTCATCAAAGCCATTACGAGAATAATATTCAGTGTCTACTGAAACAAATCCATTGCCCAAGTTCACATCACTATAATAAAAAGTAAAAAATGTGTAATCTTTTTAATACGTCTACTGGTACAGTAATACAGTAATTTCATAATCGTTTAGGTTACACCATAAGAGTAGTTGAGTTCATCAGATGACCATATCAAATCAGAATTTTAATCAGTTTAGTTTAGTTTTTTTTTTGTCTTATCAATAAACACAAGGAAATGAATTCCACACACACAGCAACTCCAGATGGTTCTTGTTGAACGTATAAACAATCTATTCTCTCCGTTAAGAATATCAAGAGAACTGAATGGTGTAGAGAAACGGCAAAGGAAGGACATGAAGGGTCATACCGCCTTGGGAGATGGGAGAGCGATGGCAGCCAGCCAGTATCTGCTGTTCAGAGAAATTGATCAAGGAAAGGGGAGCTAGGTTCAGAATAATTGAATTAAGGCTGACAGAAGCACTGACCAAAACTTTCAGACACAGGTGATACTACAAGGTCATGTGATGCAGGGTATGGACCATCACAACTGGTGAAAAATAGCATAGAGGAGAAATGAATGACAGTGTTAGATAATGTCTAATAGTTACCTTGATTGCAGTGCTCTCGGGTCACTGGATTAGCTATGTTTAGTAATAAGTGGTACTAATGATGGGTGAACACGGGTATAGTGGAATACTTAATCATAATCATCCATCATTACGTGTACATTCTTCCATTACTATAAATCTGCATTAACTTCATCTGAAATTAGATTGCATTGACATTGATGTGTCCATTTGGATCATGTTTTAAGAACAAAGCCAGTGACAAAATATTGTCTCACTTTACCTGCACTGTGACTGTTATACTTTGTATATTCATCTGCAGTCTTTGCATGGAAGAATTTAATCAACAACAAATATGAAAAATCACCTAGGAGCAAATACAATGTTAATGCAGAAAAACCCATGGACTGCTGTAAGCTAGTAGTACAAATCTTTGGTACTTTTTATGTTGATATTTCATGAAAAAAAGAACTGAATGCATTAAAAAGGAATGAGAAAATGTGAGATTACTTGCAAATCTATTCCTAATAACTTTGTAATAACAATTCCTATTAAACAAAATTAAACAAACTGAATTGAACTGAAATCTGCAACAACAAAAAAACAAAAATCGTGATATTTTTAATCTATTGTAATGTTTTAATCTTTTGACAGCCCAAATTCATCGAGCAAAAAGGATTTCGTTCCTCCTTTATGAATGCGGCAAATAGTCTGAAGTGACAAAATTGACTCTCAGCATTGAAAGTGACAGAACGGCAATAAGTCCTTGCTAGACAGGTTTTTCCTTTTTCCGCTCCTTACGCGCACAGATAATGCTCTCCGCAGGTACACCGTCTCATCATGGCCAATTGTTTCCCCTGTGAGTGCTTTATCTAAGCTGGTCTGAGACTGTTCAGCCTCATTGAACATCAATGGCCCTCCTCTTCATCCCCTCTTACCGAGCCATCAGTGACAACATCCCTTGGCATCAAGGCTTTAACAAAGGCGGGGATTCTGCTGCACCGCAGGACGTGGAGGAAAAACAGGGGAACAGACGAACAGAGAAACCTCACACAAAATGAGAGAACCAGGTAGATTTGATAGAAGCAGAGTGGGGGGATTTTGCTAACACTTGTGAGGAGGGAAGTTCAATTTTGACCTTGTAAACTGGAGGTGTTTTTTGACAGGAAAGTCATTAAAGTTGTGAGTGATAATATTTTAATGCTCTAAAACTGAGATCCAATCAGAAATTCTGGGAAAATCAGGTCATATGCGGCGTACCGTAAACAACAGCTGTGTAATTTGAAACAACATTCAGATTTAAGCAGAATGAGCAAATCTGACTCAAATCGAGTCTTTTAAAGTGAGCGTGCAACTTCCCGATGCTGCAATAATACGGTCCATGTGACCGAATTGAGTCCCCCGTCTATTTCACACTTTGCGAGCAGTCCAAATGCCATATTTATCACGAGGACTCAAGACACGGAAAAGTATGAAATTCATCAACACTTCATTGTAACATCAGGCAGAATAAAAGGCGGAGGCTCCAATCCATGACAGGGTCCTCATCTGAGCCCACCGAGGTTCCAATTTGTCACAGAGATTCATAACAAAGCCTGTCTCTCTCTAAACACACTTTAATTTCCCAACTCCACCTGGGCCATGAGAACACCTGCCTTTGTAAAAACCCTTCCAGCAGTGAAGTCAGAATGCATTCCAGGTAGCTTTAATATGCTCAAATGCAATTCTTCGCAATGCTCAAACCAAACAGTGACTAGGAGCCATATGCCTGTAACATTTGTATTGATAAATCCCAATGAAGAATGAATGAAGCCCGGATCAAATCTGCAAGCTGTTGCCCTCTCATTTGTGCTGGACTAAAATATTTCCACTGGAGTCTGCTGGGATTGTCGCAACCTACAGCACTACAGGCCATCAATGAATCAGAGAATGTATTGGCATCCAGTAACGTGCCCCCAAACACTGGCTGGAAAATATGGTACCAGGTGGGCCTATTCATAGTGTGATTTTATGTTGCTGGCAGAAAGCCCATGGTAAATGATATGTCAGAACACCAAAACATTGATTGTACTGTATTATGGGCTCATTACAATATGGATTACTGCCTTAAATTCTACATGTTGCAGATTAACAGATGATGTAAACATTATACACACAGTGAACCCAAAGAAATGTACTTGTAAGTTTTCATGAATAAACGTCATTCATTATCAGTGTTGGGGAAAGTTACTTTTAAAAGTAATGCATTACAATATTGCGTTACTCCATAAAAAAGTAACTAATTACGTTACTTAGTTACTTTTTATGGAAAGTAATGCGTTACGTTACTTTTGCGTTACTTTATAAATCTGGACAGGGCTTGCTTGTTTGTTTTTAAAATAAAAAAGTTATATTTTTGGCAAATATAAAAGCCTTTTCACACCAAAAGTGAAATGAATAAGCCTCAGGCTGAAGGGAAAGTAGATTTACGTCCGTACAGTAGAATGCAGAAGAAGAAATTTCAACACACTTCAGCAATAAAAAAAACACACAAATGTTTGTCTAGAGTCATTTGTGCTTATTAGTACGGTTGATTAGTACTGGATCATCGAAGCTCAGAAGCAAAGACATTGGTTAATAGAATGGGATTAAATACATAAAGGATATTTGTGTTGTTTAACATTTAATTATTGCAGGTTTGCGTCATATTCTGAGTTGCATTATTTTTATTCATTTTGAGGAATACTGAATATGTGTTTTTGTGTGTGTGTGAGTGAGATGAATTAATGCATATTCATATTTATTTTGAACTACAGTAACATCTTCTGATTTCTCCAAGCATGGGGACAGGAGAGCTGTCAGTCAATAAATTGGAAAAAAAGTAACATGCGTTACTTATTTGAAAAAGTAACTCAGATATTCTCTTGTAAATTAAAAAGTAATGCGTTACTTTACTAGTTACTTGAAAAAAGTAATCTGATTACGTAACTCACGTTACTTGTAATGCGTGACCCCCAACACTGTTCATTATATCATACCAAATCAAGTGACATTTACTGTGCACTACTCTAAGTATGAGGTTGGTTATTATTTACTGTATTTTTGTTTTTAAAAAGACTTCTCTTATTTTCAAGGCTACATTTATTTAATCAAAAATACAGTAAAATAGTAATATAGCAAAAAATATCAATTTATTCAGATAAAGATGAATTTATCAGATGATCATGATCCTTTACAAATTAATCTAATATGCTGATATGGTACTCAAGAAACATTTCTTATGCTGAAAACAGTTTTGCATCATTGCTGATTAACATTATTACTTGCTAAAAAATATGTTCACACTTTATTCTAAGGTCCAATTCTCACCATTAACAAACCATTAACTATGACTTTTGCCTCAATAAACTCCTAATTTGCTGCTTATTAATAGTTAGTAAAGTAGTTGTTAAGTTTAGGTATGGGGTAGGACTAGGGATGCAGAATATGGTCATGCAGAATATGTGCTTTATAAGCCAATATGTTAATAATAGGCATGCTAATAAGCAACTTGTTAATAGTGAAAATTTACTTACCAAGAATGTTACATATGTTATCAAAAATACTGACCCAAAATATTTGGAAAATAACATTTTAAGGAAATATAATGTAATATGTTTTGACTTTTTAAGCAAAACAATCATAAATATTACTAAAAATATATTTTAAAAATGTATATGGATCAAAGTATAAAACAATAGATAAGCTTTTAAAAACTAAGACACAATGTATATTCTGGTTGTCAAATTTTGTGGAACACATTCAGTATGATATATCTGTGTGAACTAGAGGAGAACTTCACACATTCACTAAAATCACTTTGAAAAAAGAAAAGGAAAATGAAAGTTAAGAAAGAAAAAAAAAAACCTCATAAATTGTTTGCTGAAATTCAGATGTTTTTTTAGGATTCACAAGTGTCCAAATAGTTTTTGGGGTGAACTAGAGGAGAACTTCACACATTCACTAAAATCACTTTGAAAAAAGAAAAGGAAAATGAAAGTTAAGAAAGAAAAAAAAAACCTCATAAATTGTTTGCTGAAATTCAGATGTTTTTTTAGGATTCACAAGTGTCCAAATAGTTTTTGGGGCTATTGTATGTTCATACAGAGCTAAAGGCTTTGAAAAGCCCTAGACAACAGAATCAGAAAGAAATAGAGAATACAGAGTGATTGTTGTGGAGGAAGGAATGATCAAATTGATTATGAAACTATGATTAACCCAATACCAATTAGAATTTAAAACAAGTTCTTACCTTTAACCTGAATGCCAATACGAAAGTAGACATCTGAGCTACTGAGGTAACGCTCCACCAAAATATAGTACCACTGCTCCCAGCATGGCAGCGGGACCTCCAGCTCACAGGGAACATTCTCTCTGCAGTCCATAGCGCTGGAGTTATGCACCGGCGGGGCCCTTGAGCGGATCTTCAGCAGAACCGGGCAGCTCTCCCCGCTTCTGTTCTTTGTATTGCAGTCCACAAGCTGTACCTTCACCCGAGAGATGTAGTTTGGGATGAACACTCTGCCAGGTACAAGGGAAAGAAATGTAGAGGACATCTGCTTGAAAGCTACACTTACTGTAGACATTGTCTCATGAGATGCAGTAAAACAATACTAGTATGCCTATCGAAATGCCAAGGAAGCATTTAAACAGGAATGTGTTTTTGTACTCTCAGGATAACTTTAAACTTCAGCCTATTATAACAAACTTGTTGAAAATGCATAAAGCAATTAAATGATATCTCTCCGTCTTAATTTTCTACATCAATAACAACTAATCAGGAAACAAATGCAAGTCGCCCTTTTCAATTTGAACAGAGATGGAGAACAACTGTGAAGCTAGAATAAATAAATAATATAAAAAATTTTGGCCATGACACAATTGGCTTTGTCTTTTGGTTTTTGATCATTAACAATATGAGCAGCACACCAAATGCTCAATCAAACAGAACACAAGTTGTTTACAGATCTGCTGGATCGCTTCGGGAAAAAAGTGTTTTGGAATATGAACTTGGTCTTTGAAATAAATTTAAAAAATCATTTATTGCATGGTTAATTTATCCCTTCTTCCAATTTTACACAGTACTGTTTTATATTTCACAACTGAATAAATAGCATGTCCTATTATGAATATTACAAATTCTTATTTAATTGACAAACTAAATAACAAGAGCTATGCTTAATAACTATATTTAACATAGTCCACTAGATTTTATTACATATAAGAAGATTCCTATTTCTTCCTACACAGTATTTCATGTGGCAGATATCCTATATATGCTATAAAATAGTGTATAATAATATCCAGACATCCATTAAACAGCAGCTGCCTAAGTGTCACCGCTGAAAACCAGCTTTTAATGATACAAAAAAAGCCCATCTTCATAATGTCCAGTGCTCAAGGTCTTTTCTGTGTACCCTGTTGTTTATGAATGCATTTCATCACCTCTCCCTCCTCCATTTTCCTCTTTTTCATTTAGAAAGACTTTATTTGCTAATTGAGAGGAGAGCTTTAATATCTGAACCTAATGAGAGTAGAAGCCTGAAATAGAGGGAAGCTTGAGAAAAGGATGTGTGTGGAATGGTAAAGTGTTGAGAGCAGAATGAGGGAGAGAAAAGGTGAGAGACTTGCACGGTGTGTGCGCGTTCGTGTGTCTGATCAGGAAAGATGTGTGAAAGTCTGCAAAGATGACAATAGAGTAGAAATGCTCACAATTTTGAAAGATGGTTTTATTTAAGTGTTTGAAATCACATGTGGGTGATTACGCCACCGTTCATGAGTTTGGGGTGGTAAAATTGTTTTATGTTTTTAAAAGAAGTGTTCACAAAGGCTGCATTTATTTGATCAAAAATACAGCAAAACTGTTTTCTATTTTCTATTTTCTAAAATGTATTTTAGCTATGGCAAAGCTAAATTGTCAGTGTCACTTGATCCTTTAGAAATCATACTAATACGTTAATTTGGTGCTCAAGAAACATTTCTTATTATTAACAATGTTGAAAATAGTTGCGCTGCTTAATATTCTTGTGGAAACCATCATACATTTTTTCAGGATGAATAGAAAGTTCAAGAGAACAGCATTTATATGAAATAGAAATTATTTGTAAATGTATTTACTGTCACTTTTATTGAGTTTAATGCACCTTTGCTGAATAAAAGTACTGATAAAAGTAGTAATCTTTCAGGGGGAAAAACTGACTGACAACAGACTTTCCTTTTGGCGTAAACTATCCCTATAATTTTAGAATTTTTGTTGATTTTGTGTGTGTGTGTGTGTGTGTGTGTGTGTGTACCTGTTTATGCTACATTGTGGGGACCACACAAGGATAGTAAAACCTGGAATTTTTATTAAAATTAATAAATATATTAAAAATAGCAAAGCAAACAGGTTGTCTGTTAGGGGTTGGTTTAGGGTTAGGGGATAGAAAATATAGTTTGGTCAGTATAAAATTAATAGAAGTCTATGGAAAGTCCCCACAATTCACAGAAACAAATGTGTGTGTGTGTGTGTTGTGTGTGTAAGTGGATATATTGCATCTTAATTTCATCTTAAAAATAATCACTCACTTGTAGAGTACAGATCTATTGTGAAGAGGAATCATCTGGTCAATGAAGTAACCAGGATACAGCACTGAAATCCCAATGAGCCTCTGAACAATGAGCTGAGGTTGAAAGAGGTACTGACATTCCTCGTGAAGACCCTGGACAAAAACAGTGAAACAAACAGGAAATAGATGGATTAGTTACAGGCTAAAATCCACTCAGTATCCATCTTCAAATACACTGAGCCATGAAATACAGTGTCACAAAAAACATATACATGCGTATCATGATATGGAAATGCTCGTGGAAGGGGGGCAACTCCCACTGAGAGAGCCTTATGCTCACTTCAAATGGAGGGAAACTGTCATTGCATTTGCATCGCTTCTGATGATTTGCTGTGTGATATTTCTCACGGCCAACTGAACAACAACTCCCACCTCAGACTCTGTAGAAAAAGATCAAACACTATTGTCCTTTCTCCACTTGGTGAAAAATTCAGATAAAAGATTTTGAACTGTCTGCAATTTTTTACTGATTCCAAACAAGTGCAGGATCCAGCCAAAACCTTGTCTTCTTTGAATTCTGCTTTGCATTTACATTTCTTCTTTTAGCAGACACCTTTATGTAAAGTGATTTTAAAAATGAGGAATACAACAACATGAATGATTCATCTTAAAGAAGAAGGAACAATTTATTTTCAGACAATAAAAAATACAAGAGTTGGGGATTGAAATTCATGAATAAAAAATGTATACTGAGCACAGGGGAAATTCGAGACATTTATTTGGCAGAATCTGTTTAATTATGTCTGATATAAAACAATGTGTCAAAAATGTTTGTTCCTTGCTCAAAGTGAAAGGTGGTGTGCCTTTCACTCGGTGTGCCTTGTGTAAATAACAACCGTTTAAGCTTTTGGGGTCAGTAAATTTTTTTTTTATCAGCAATGATACATTAAATTGATCAAAAGTGACAGTAAAGACATTTATTATGATACAAAAGATTTATATTTTAAATAAACACTGTTCTGTTGAACTTTCTGGAAAAAAAGGTTATTACGGTTCCCACGAAAAAAAAAATTAAGCAGCACAACTGTTTTCAACATTGCTAATAATAACAAGAATTGTTTCTTGTGCACCAAATCATTGTATCGGAATGATTTCTGAAGGATCATGTGACACTAAAGACTGGAGTAATGATGCTGAAAATTCAGCTTTGCCATCACAGGAATAAATATATATTTTTAATATATTAACATGGGAAACAGTTTCTTTAAACGGTAATAATATTTCACAATATTACTGTTTTTACTGTATTTTTGATCAAATACAGTAAATGCAACCTTGGTGAGCATAGGAGACTTCTCACAAAAGCGCAAAAAAATCTTACTGACCCCAAACGTTTGAACGGTAATGTATTTTACATGCCACTGATAACTATATGATCAGGGCCGTCGCTAGTGGGGTGAAAGGTGGTGACGATTATAGGGGCCCACGGCTGAGGCCCCCGGCGATCTCAACCGACTGGCTGAGGACAGCCTAAAAAGACGCTCAGGACAGTTGATGGGCCACTGCTGCGCATCGTCTTACGAAAGCTTATCATTTGCACGTATTTTTAAGCCTTGCCAATTTAAACATTCAAAAGAGTTTAAAGCATTCAAACACAAGACGCGGAAAAACTCAACTGAGTACTCGCGCTCCGTGTTCGGTGCGAACGCAGAGAGCCGCGTCTCACGGACAGCAACATCGAACCTCCTGCACCTAAACGAACAAATACAAATCGCAGTTTAAACATGCAAACAGAAAAAGACGTGAAAGAGCCCAATTCAGCACCCGCGCACGGTGTTCTGTGCGCACAGGGCGCACGCAGAGAGGTGCGTCTCAAAGCGCTTGAACACCGAAATTTGCCTCTTCTTGCTCTTGTACTGACAAATACATACAAAATTATGTCAAAATACCTGTCTTAAAGAGTATGCTCTTGACTGAATTACTTTGTAGTTTTAACAAGAATTAATCCACAGTCAAACCAAAAATGATTCAGACACCAGATATAATTATTTTTATTTTTTTTTTACAAGTGGGTGCAGGACACTATAGTTCATTTATGTAAGTGAGTATAGCAAAATAAAGTAAACTGTGACATATTATACCCAAATATTCTTCATACAGTGGACTACCAGTAAAATTTATAAAAAATTTGGGACCAAAAATTATTCAGCCACTTTTGACCTGACCATGTTTTGCTTCAGTGTTTTTTCTTTAATTGCTAATGTGAACTTTTTACACCACAGACTGAACAAAGTTAAGGATTGCTTGGTAATTGGACAACAAAGCATTGATAGTTGTGTAAATATTGTCATACTAACAGTTGTCTGAATTTTTGGTTGATTGTAATCCATTACATACCTTTCTATCAAAGTTATCTGACATTATCAAGATAAATTTTTTCTGACACAGTGTAACTCTGAGTTCTTTTCATATTTTATTACCATTTTCTAAACTATAGCAAATAAACTGTGATATTGTGAGAAATGTTGAAGGTGTCTGAATAAATTTTGGTTTGACTGTATATTTAATTTTTACAGTGAAGACTATGCAGTGCTATTTTACATTTGATTATTCGGTTTCTGTACCTGGACACCTACAAACTTGAAAAAAATTAAACATTGGGTAAATAGCACAAATAAATAAATAGAACGAACATACAAATTAAACAATTTCAAACAGGGCCCACTGGTACAACCTGCACTGGGGCCCCGCAAACCCCAGCTACAGCCCTGTATATGATATGTACTGCTTTAACAGACTATACTAAGGCTGAACTGAACGGTTTTGTTTTCACCATTCACAGTTGGCAGTGTTATCAAGAGATGCGTAGCTGTAAAAACCACATTGGTTTCAGTAAGCGACAGATGTTGTGGCGTATGCTCCAATTAAAGATCCGAAGATCTGTAAAGATTCGCAGACTATTTTTCACAGTGCAATTGCATGAAGACTTGATGTGTGAGAAAAGGAGGTGGAGGGATTAAAGACGGAGAGAAGGTGGGAGAATCTAAGAGCTTTTATTTATTATGGCACACCATGGCAAATTACAATGCATCGTTTCATCATGGAAACCTCGGCTTCTCTCACGCAGGTACTCCTGCCCTAAACACATTCATCATTGTCGAACGGCGTAGTATAACCCCTCCTCTCTACTCGGCCAGCGTCTTTTCTTACCATCTCCACACAGAGAAACACAATCACACCAAACAAAGAGGTATTACATGTCTAGGAATCACGCTAAAAGAATACATTAGCTTTGCAGAGTGCACGTTCCTGTTTCCGTCGTTTGTACTGGACTACCGCCTGAGACGCGGGGGGTCATTTTCACTGGCTTTTTCAACCCACAGCGCTGTCGAATATCAACCGCATATCACTGCTGGCTTCCTGTTGAGGTCAGTCAGCCATGTTATTACTTCATAAGGTAGGGAGTGAGAGTCTGCTGGCGCATCTGTCAGTTCAATGCAGTTAAACAATAACTGAGCAGTCGTCAGCAGCGGCGGCCTCTTCCAGTACTGAAATGCTATTCAGTAGACATGAAGAGAGGGGGCGGGGCAACGGAAAGAGCTAATTGGCTTGCAGTGGTGTGTGATTAATTATGATGTGGGATTCACTGCCTCAATAGTCATCCTATAATTAGATATTTTTCAAGACATGAAATAAAAAATTTAAAAAATCTTTAAAAAGCCTTAACTAAAAATTGTGTGTGCTTCATGTCATTTCAAAATTCTCTGTGATATGAATTAGTACAGTATTAACAGTACAATATAACACATATTCAGAGAATTTGAAGGCTTTCATCTGCTACTTGGACACTGATGACATGATTGCGATATTGTGCATTAAAACATAACTGGCAACATCACTGTATAAACACATAATTCTGCATCTTTATAGCAGATGATAAAAAAACTACAATGACATTATAAAATACATAAGCTTTTATACTGCATTGTTCTGCTAAGAAAAGCCGATCATATGCATACATTACCACTCAAAAGTTTGGGGTCAAAATACTTTTATTCAGCAAGGATGCAATAAATTGATCAAAAATCATGTTTAAGACTTTTATATTGTTATAAAAAAATTATATTTCAATAAAATGATTTTAATTTTCCTGTTTCATTTTTATACATTGCCATATGATGTGCTACAAATGGCAAAAAGTTGACTTTAATAATAAGAAGGAATGTTTCTTGAGCAGCATATTAGAATAATTGCTGACGAATTATGTGGCAAGACTGAAATAAAGGCTGCTGAAAATTCAGCTTTGTCACCACAGAAATAAATTACATTTTATATTAAAATAGAAAACAATTTTAAATTGTAACACTATTAAAAAATCTTTAAAAAGCCTTAACTAAAAATTGTGTGTGCTTCATGTCATTTCCAAAATTCTCTGTGATATGAATTAGTACAGTATTAACAGTACAATATAACACATATTCAGAGAATTTGAAGGCTTTCATCTGCTACTTGGACACTGATGACATGATTGCGACATTGTGCATTAAAACATAACTGGCAACATCACTGTATAAACACATAATTCTGCATCTTTATAGCAGATGATAAAAACTACAATGACATTATAAAATACATAAGCTTTTATACTGCATTGTTCTGCTAAGAAAAGCCGATAATATGCATACATTACCACTCAAAAGTTTGGGGTCAAAATACTTTTATTCAGCAAGGATGCAATAAATTGATCAAAAATAATGTTTAAGACTTTTATATTGTTATAAAAAAATTATATTTCAATAAAATGATTTTAATTTTCCTGTTTCATTTTTATACATTGCCATATGATGTGCTACAAATGGCAAAAAGTTGACTTTAATAATAAGAAGGAATGTTTCTTGAGCAGCATTTTAGAATAATTGCTGACGAATTATGTGGCAAGACTGAAATAAAGGCTGCTGAAAATTCAGCTTTGTCACCACAGAAATAAATTACATTTTATATTAAAATAGAAAACAATTTTAAATTGTAACACTATTTTACAATATTACTGTTTTTACAATATGTGTGATCAAATAAAGTCAGCCTAGGTAAGCATAAAGAGAATTCTTTCAAAAACAACCCCAAAACATCTGAATAGTAGTAATGCATTCAGA